GGGGCAGGTACTGGACTGAGGAGTATGCTGGGGCAGGTACTGGACTGAGGAGTATGCTGGGACAGTGAGAAGAGGATGAGCAATGAGATGTTCTGAGCTGAGTTTCCCCTCTTAAATGGAGATAGTGAAGTTCATGGCTACACTTCCAGTCAGAGGGGCAGAGGAGGGTGATGAGGTAGAATACCAAGGATGATCTTGTTGGGTGAAGAGATTTTTCCAGTAAGGAACTTCCTGGGACTTGGTGGAGAAAGTCAGAAAAGTCTCAAAGTAGTGCAGCCAAGTGAGAAATGAGGAGATGTTCTGGGTCTGCATTATCCAGAACTTCCTGAACAATATTTAGAGTCTTTCTTAAGCATAATTTTGACCATTTCTTTCACCTCTTAGAAACCTAACGTGACTCCAGTTGCCTTTTATGTAAAATTAAAATGCATAGACATTGGTTACTTCCTTTCATTCACTCTGTTTCTCTGTTCCTCCAGTCTTTTCTTCCATGGATTCCCCCTTCTCAAACTACCCAAACCTATTTACTATTCGCTATAAACAACTTACTTCTTATCCCTCCTTCTTCAGGTATTTCTCCTAAATTCAATTAAATTCAATAAATATATATTATGTTAAGTGCCTACTGTGTACAAGGTGCCATACCAGCCTCTAGGGATATGAAGGCAAAAAAATAAGAGTCTCTGTCCCTAAAATGACCTTACCTGTCCTTTAGGCCCAACCACCACCCATTTCCTCTTAAAAAAGTGTCTGACTCATCTTCTCCATGAAGACTTCCTTCCTAAATAACCCTGTTGGATAGAGTCTTAGTCCCTCCCATGATTTCACTGACCACTAAGAATCTGTGTTTTTGTCTTCTGTGAAGCTTCATTGGTTATTTTGTATGGTCTTCTGTATACTCAGTTTTATTTGTTAGGCCTTTCTCATTAGAGATTCTGAGCTCCTTAAAGTCAGAGACTTTGTAATCTGCTTTTGTAATTCCTCTCAAGGAGGACTCATTTGGTGTGGAGAAGGAAATTTTATGTCTCTTAAGCACTTCTGTCTACTCAAAATACAGTTTTAACAGAGAATACTATGTAGTAGGATAAAGGCATTAGCCACGATTTAGGAGGGTGAGGATAGCCAGCTATATGTGGCATCACAATTATATGGTCTATAAAACATTTTGAATCAGCTTTGTTAGAGGAAATAGTTAAGTACTGTCAGTTGAAGTAGATAGTTTGGTAGCTATTTTAGAAATGCCTTTCTGAACTCAAATTAGTTTGTGTCATTGCAGGTTTTTTCCCAGTCGTTTTAGGCCCTTTTTTTTGAGATGCATACTCATTTCTTTAGCAGTGACTTGTGTGCACCTGGTCCCTTGAGTTGAGTAACCTAGTTCTTTTATTCAAATACTATCTTGGGTCTATTTTTCACTGTGTCTCTGCATTTTAATCTATTCAGCTCGTTGTCTAGGAACACACAGTTTTTACCAACTGTTTCTTTATATATCAGTGCATAAAATTCTTGACGTGAGAGTGAGGAAGATGGGGAGGTGGTCTTTTACTTTACTTGTCTTGGGGTAACGGCATTGTATTTCAATTAATGGGAGAGATTGCATGGCAAATAGAAAATACATCAAAAGACTAGTGGTGGGTTCATAGCGCCTCAGTCACATTACTTTACCATACTTAAATCAGGTCATAGGGTTGTCCCACTTAGAAGCACTGATCTCTTTGAGATTAAATTGTTATGGTTGTTAACTACCACAAAGGAAAGTTTGAAACTCTTATTTTCTCTTTTCTTAATGAAAACAATTATCAATATACTCAGTAACTGTTCATTACCATTTGCTAAAATTGCTATAATGCTGTTTATTACTTTCTAGTGGAAATATAGTTTCTTGGGGGTGTTTGTACATACATGTAAACTTAGATACACATAAAAGATGAGTTTTAAAATAGAAAAATACAATTTTAAGTATGGGAAATTAGCTTTTTAAAATAAATTTATAGAAAAAATATTGTACTTATAATGCCTTATAGAAATTGAGTAGTTAATGATTTGGAAGAAAGTAATGTCAGTTCTTTTTTTTTTTTCTTTCCAAACATAGTAATCCCACTTTTGTTTGTTTTCATAGTCTCGGGCCTGTATTTGCTCTGTTTGTACCATTTTACTGCTCCATTCCAAGAGTTCAAGTGACACAAATTCTGGGCCAGTTTTCCATCACAAACAAGACATTGATTTATATATTGGGGCTACAGGTACAGTATGTATTTTATGTTCATTTTTATTTTAACTAGATCTTATTTCATATTTATCTTTCTCTATTTTAATCTCTGGAAAATAAAACCTTTCCCTGTAACTTTGGCTTCATTGGCTGCATTTAGTTATTCAGAGGAAAAAGTTTCTGAAAAGGTACCTCACAGCAGAACAGGTACTAGAAGCCTTTCATGGTCGGTAGCAATCTGATAATGGTTTTCACTAGAATTGGATTATATACGAACACTTATGGAGGTATTTTGATTTTGTAGTGCACTAATATGTTGAATACTGTCAAGTAAGATGTCCAAAAGGAAGTTTTCTGTGAGGAACTCAGGGGTTCTTTACCAGCTTGAGCTTTCAGGTTTCTCAGAAAATTTTGCAAGCTACCTAACTTCTGTATTCACAGACATATTTTAAGTCCATTCACTTTTCTTATATGTTATCTTTAAGTTTAAATTATGTCTTATGGAATACTTTAGAATGCTCATCTAAATTCTCACTTAATTCAGAAACAAGTTCCTAGTAGGGGCAGGTCACTGAAGGAAATGCAGGGAATTAATCACTTTTCCCCCTCATGTGGCTTAATTAGCCAAATGAAGTGTGTCTTTCTTACACTCTGGCTTCTCGATCAATCAGTTAGGAAAAATATATTGTTTATGACTTGGTCTTTCCCTTTGAGGAGTTTATGAGCTAGTCCATTCAAAAGGTTGTACTGCCATCCCACTTGTTGGTCTAAAATAACTTAATTTCAGAATGTTTCCAGTTTTCCATTCTTATCACTTGTCTCTTTTCTTGGTCCTCTTCGAAAATCTAAAGTTAAACTTTTTCTGTGCTGTTTTTTGATACCATGTATACCTTCGACTTTTGCACCTGAGGTTAATGATTTTCTTTCCCCTTGTACTCTCCACTTGTGACTAACATCACTTGAAAAAGGCCCTTCTTCCCTCTTCTGGAGTTGCTGTTAGGCTTTATCTGTTGTCTGCACTGCACAGGCCTTCTCTTGCCACCTTCACAGCTTACTTATTCCTCAGCTCCTCACCTCCATGAATTACCTTCTGCTTAGCCTTCCTAACATCCTTGTATAGCTAATAAAAGTTCTGCTTTCCCATGTTAAATCATACTAAATTTTTAGAAATCTACTGGGAAATACATTAGCTAATTTATTCAGTAGCATTTTTGTGTGCTGTGTGTTTTTTTTTTATATATACATATATATACACACACATACATGTGTATATATGTATGTATGTGCACACGTGCATATATCATATCTATATATGTATATATAATACACACATTTACTGCTTTTGTTTTCTGTTATTCAAAGTTTTTCTTATGAAGATTATTCATTCTGGAAAAAGAACCCTAATTGGTTAAAGAGTTATTCTAGATGTATTCCTAAGAAGCTGTATATTTCAGTATTTTAATACTAAGCATTATAGAAGGCACTATGACATAGTTGGTAGATTGCTGTACTTGAAATCATGAAGATTTGGGTTCAGATTTCGCCTTTGACACTTACTAGCTACGTGATCCTTATGAAGGTACTTACATTCAATCTGTCTGGCTAATTGAGACCCTTGTAAAGGGGAGTATCAAAAAACTGATTTTGGAAGAGATTCCCTATGTTGACAAAATCATGGATCCTCCACTTATTTACATAAGTGTTATACAGTACCTGAGAAAGTTCATTCTTTCTTCACATCCCCAGCAATTTCGTTGTTGATCAATCAATTAAAAATGTATGTGTATATATATATATTTATTGACTACCTATTAAATATAGGATATCATGCTGAGTGTAATGTGGAAAAAAGGGGAGTTTAAGGCATGGACCTTCCCCTCAAGGAGTTCTCAGTTTAATGGAGTGGTTAAGATCATAATGGCATCATTGATTTGGAATTCAAAGAAACTTCAGAGGTCATAGTTCAGCTCCCTCATTTAACAGATGAAGAAACTGAGGCCGAGAAAGATATTTGCCTAAGGTCACATCTGTAGTAAGGGATGGAAATGGGATTCAAACCCAAACCCTGACTAAATATAGCACGGCCCGCCGCCACTACATTTCATCTTTACATATACTCTATTCTATAAAATCATAGTGAAAATACAAGGCAGTTTGATAAATGCCAAAAGAGCAATGAGAAGAACTATAGGAATTCGGAGGAAGGAAAAATGCACTGGTGAAATGTGTTGGAAGGCTTTGAGGGGCAGCATGTAGCAGAAAGCGTGCTAGATTTAGTCAGACCTGAGGTGAATTATTTCTGCCTCTGTTCATTATATTACTGTGGCAAAGTAGCTTAACGTCTCTGGGGGTGCTTCAGTTTACATAGCTACCTGTAAAACAAGGAGATTTGACTTGATCTGTAAGAGATTCAGAGGTCATCCTTACATAGGATGACCCTCATTTTGCAGATAAGGGAACTCAGATGCAAAGAGAGGAGATGACCTGCCCACATTCAAATAGCTAGTTAATGGTAAAGCTGAGGCAATTGACTTTCAATCCACTATTCTTTCCATTAGGTCACGTTGCTTTCCTCCTTCCACTTTAATATTGAAGTATTAATTAAAAGTAGAATGACCAAAAGTTAAGATGGAAGAAAAATAGGCTTTAATAGAGAATAATAGTGAAATCATATGACTGAAATTCAGTCAAATTTATGTTAGCTCAGAAAATCATTTTTATACAATTTTGAAAAAATTCCTTGACTTGCAAGTGCATTTTCCATTTAAGATTGACTTTTATATAGAAAAACTGTTAATAGGAAATCAAAAGAAAGGTTATAGAAATACATATGTAGGCTCTAGAGTACTTCTATCTAAAATTAAATCAACAAACATAAAGTGTTAACTCTATGGGAAATCTCATGGGTAGGCACATAGGAAAATACAAAAGAAGTATAAGATATGGCCCTGACATCAAGGAGCTTTCACTCTAATTAGGTCAACATGCTTTGTGTAAACACCTGAAAATTTAAACAACATAGGAGATGAATAGTTCAGTATTACAATACAAAAGTTATTGCAAAGTTGTGTAAGACTAGTTGTGCCTTGTAAGTAGTTGATACTTAGTAAATACTTAGTAAATACTTCTAATGGAATTGCCAAATCCACCTTGTGTATGTCTACCCTTTATATTTGTCTTCTTTTCTTGATGTTTTTGGGAAGGAAGCCTGGAATTCCCATATAATTCTCACACCCACATGCTACTTTCTTTTCCTTTGAAACAAAAACTTTACTAACAGACTTATAAAAACTTAACAGTCTTGTTCTTGGCAGACTAGATAGAGGATTGTATTTAAACTTGTAATCAGGTGCTTGCTCCCAACTGACAGGTAGGAAGGAGAGAGAGCTAGCTAATAATCACTCTTCCAGGGAGGAGGGGAGGTATGCTGGGAGAAATTTAGGTGATATAAAAATGAAAGATCAATTAAAGTACATTTAAAAAAATTTTCTAAGTCCACTCTAACAGTTCTCAATCTTTATCCACTAATAGCTTAAGTTCCCCTCTTTCTCATGTGCCTCTGGACTAGGTGACGTCTAAGATTGCTGATACTGCATGATCGAGGCTAGGGCAATGTTGATAAAAGGCCTTTTTTCCCTCTGAAATCAAAGGTGTTGAAGACTGTAAGAGGCAGCTTGAAGTGAAGAGGCAGTCCTTAATGTGAATACCAACTTCTAGTCACAGATTCTCTCCTCTCTCCACCTTGGGAAGTCTCACCGCAGTTTTTCTTTATAGGTAGAACTTTTTGGAAATGTGAAATGTAAAGAAAAGTAATTGTGAGACCTAGGTTGCCTAGAATTTACTTTGCCTCTGTTCTTTGGAAAGTGAAGATAAAAATCTTGGTGAATAATGAAGTGCCATCATTAGAACAATAAGCCAAAGACCTCTATGTATTCAGAATTCTCACTTCCCCCATTTTAGAATGAAAATACAAGTGGAAAAGGGGAGAAATTATGTAGATATGATATGTTGGGTCTTAAGATCAAATACTGCTTAGTCACTGAAGTAGACAAGAACAATTAGCAATTTCACTTAAGATTACTGTTTATACTTTGGTAGGCAAAGCCAGTTACTTTTTTTAAAGTGTTTAAATTAAAACCATCATTACCCATGCATCAATAAAAATGTGCATTTGTTTTCATTAATATGTTAGAATTTAACATATCTTGTACTTCAGAGAAGGGACTCAGGCTTAACCAACACTTTCTTGCGGGAGGATCAAAGAATAAAGTCTTTCTGAAGCCCAAGAAATTATTCTACACCAATAAAATAGCAATTCATTAGTTTGCTGATTGCTCTCAGATGTAGCATTTATGTAATGAAAATAGTTGTCATTACATTAAAATTGTACCTTTTAAAAGTAAGTTTATAATATACAGTTGAATTTCTTTTAAAATTAGTACCTTTTTTCTTTTATAGCTTTTAACCTCTGGTACCTACATTTGGGTTGTAGCCACAAGTGGTCTGGTAAGTGTTTAATTTTCTTGTAATGATTTGCTTGCCTATAAAACTATCCTAGGAAAAGCAGAGTATCTGAAATTATTTTCATCTTTGCATAAAATTTTCCAATTTGTCTTCATGCCTTTTTATATGTTAACTTTTTAAAGATAAATTTTTATTTTTTTATGTCTTTTGATTTTACATTACTGAGGTTTCCCCTTGTATCCCTCCCAAGGGAACCGTCCCATGTAACAGGTAATTTTTCCCATCAGCTTTCAATTCACATCTAGTTCTACAAGTTGTTACAAGTCTAGATGCTATGTAATTTAGAAACACTGGATTTTAACCTGAACATTAAGTGGACTTGAATGTATGTAATCAGCTTTCCAAATACTTAAAATAAAAAACTGAACAATAAATGAAAAGCCTTAATTTTTGAGAAATAGCAGTAAAGAAGTTACATAGTCGTGTCATAATAAGAATGACTAGCATTTACATAGCTCTTCAAGGCTTGCAAAGTGTGTTATAAATCGGATCTCTTATTTTCACATATTCCTTTTTGCTGCCAAAACTTTAGACTTGCTACACAACATAAAAACTCAAGCATGACCTAGATGTCTGTAACCAACCTAAGAAGTGAGTTCATTACTTTAAAAAATTTGTTAAAAGATCCCATATTTCATCTCAGTTTCCCAGGTAATTCCAATGAAAGTTGATAGTGGATTTTTTTGTTGTTTCTTTTTAAATTGTTAGTAAGACCACAAAAGTATTTGAATTAGCAGTAGAGAAAGAGTGGTGGGAAAGAAAAATGAAGAAGTTAGTTTCACTAAATATACAGTGGTGTTTTTTTTTTTTAAAAGAAGACATAGTCATATAGAGGAAAAACATGAGGGTAGTAGGAAAGTCAGATGGGTTGAAAGATTACAGAAGTTTCATCTTTTCTGTGACCAGACAGGAGGAACGGGAAGAGTGAGCAATGTTGGAGGAATCAAGATTACTCACTACATGCACTGAATTTCCTTAATATGCCAGAATGTTTTGGTTTTTTTTTTAGGTTGTAAGACCATGTCCTATGACAGTAACTCTAATAAAACTTCGGATACATTTCTTATTTTATATTATTTGCACTTAATGGAATTTCTGAATAATTAGGAGCATGAAATTGTATCTTATTCTTCATATGTGGTGGTTTCAAACCCCTGAGTAACTTTGAAAAATAAATTCTTCCAGCCCACCTAATCATGAGTTTCTAAGAGGAAAAAAAATCTAAGAAAATTTGTGGGATGTCTAGTCCAGTATGTATCATAAAGAGATAGAACATGAAAATAGTATATGCTACACTAAGAAGTTTTAAATTCACTCTAAAGAGGCTCTTGAGCACTGAGTTCGGAGCCTCAGCCTGATTTCCTTTGTGAATGACAATGGAATCTCTTTCCATTCCTTTCCTACTTCCATATTGTGACCTTTGTCTTCTCTAGCATACTTTTTGTTCCTTCATCCCTGAGCCCTCCTCCTCTACGCCAACCTGTGAAGAATTCAGTGTAGGAAGTAAAATTACTGTTTAACTTGCTGAATATTCAGTAGTGTGTATATGTCTTTTTTGTATTGACTAGATTTCCCCTTACCCCTACCCAAATTTTTTTTAAAAGAGAGAGAAAAAGAAGAGGAAGAAAATGTAAAATTCTACACCAAATGGAACTACCACACCTGCATAGTAGCAGATGGAATTGTCTTCTAATATCTTTTCTTTGGAGCCAAGTTTGTTCTTTATAATTAATTTGTGGTACATTGAATAGAGTGCTGGGTGTGGAGTCAGGCTGACCTGAGTCAAATCTAGCTTCTGCATGACTACGGGCAAATTACTTGGCCTCTGTCTTCCTCAGTTTCCTCAAATGTAAAATGGATAATAACATTATCTACTTCCCAGTGTTGTGGTGAGGATTATATGAGAATCATATTTGTAAAGCTTTTAGCACAGTGCCTGATACATAGTAGGTGCTTAATAAATACTAATTCCTTTCTTCTCTTCCCTTTCCCCCTCCCTTCCTAAACTTTGAAAATTCATGGAACTTTCTAGTAGTTTTGATCCTGGACTGCTTGCCATAACACCCATCATAAAATGGCCTGAACCTCATTGGAAGAACTGAGGCCAACCTGGAGTATCTGTTGTCTGTAGGTTCTGGGTTGACTCAGTCATTCAGAACTGGAGGTTGACCTTATGAGGCAATCTGCTAAAGTTCATCTTAGTCTAATCCTTATTGTTTGTTGTTGTTTTATTGAGTAAACATTGACAGGTCCTTAAAAATGTAGTGACACTAGCAGTGAGAATTTACAGCTTTAAAAACCAAAGTTAAAGTCAGTATTTTCTCTACCATGTTCTTTTGAAAAAGAAAATGTCCTAGCAGTCAAATTTAGGGTTCAAGAATTCAAATGAGTAAGAATTGAGGAGGATGGTATACTTTTTTTTCTTTTTGCATTAGGTTGCTACTTTTTAGTAGGCAAATGCTTCTTTTAGGATCTATATCAGTCATTTTTCTAAGACATTTTTTTTTTTGGTGAGGCAATCGGGGTTAAGTGACTTGCCCAGGGTCACACAGCTAGTAGGTATAAAGTGTCTGAGGCCAGATTTGAATTCAGGTCGTCCTGACTCCAAGGCTGGAGCTCTATCCACTGCACCACCTAGCTGCCCTAAAACATTACTTTTCTGCTAAGGTTATATTTTTCATGTTTCTGTATCTAAGATTATGTATATTTGTAGTCTTTCTTATCTGAAATGCAAATGCTGCAATCTCAGCCCCTTATTTCATTAAGTTTCTAGTATCAAAAATAGCTATTTTAGTGATAAAGGAAGTAGACCAAATGCTATAATCCTTTCTATATGATTCCAGCTGAATAGGGTGTTGAAAAAGGTTCAGTCCAAAATTAAATTTCCTTGACACTACCATTTTTATCTTGTATGTGGATTTGTTCAAGAAATATTTTTGGAACCCATACAAGTGATTGATGGTATTGATCATCCTATGAATGATAATTATTAACATCTACTTTGTCTTAATAAAGTTTAAAATCTACATTTAATTTATCACTTTGGAATTTTGTCCAGAGAACTCTGATTTAAGATAGCCAGTTCAATTTGGTAATACTTAGTTCAGGATCACTGTATGAGGAAATAAAAATTCATTGTGAAAAAAGTGGTCTGTGAGGTACTGAACACTGTCAGAAATATTAAAAGCCACAGTATCCTTGCTCCAGATGTCTCTTGCACAGCACAGTTTCTCCTCCCATATATGACTAGTAACTTCCCTTTTTGTGTACTAAAGTATAATTCTTTACTACAGAAAATAGAAATAAAAATTGGTTTTTGGGAAAATCTTGTAAAACCTACTGATAATATTTTACCTTTTAGCCTTAAGAAATAAAAATGCAAATAACATAAGCTTATCACATTTGTTAAGAGAGGACTTCAGAACTGGCAGGAGTGGGGTTTGTGTGTATTTGTGTGTGTATGTAAAGATATATATAAACAGACACTCATATGAAGATATATAAAATGTCTTTTAGGCAGAAACATAAAACATGAGTCGTGTGTCTACTACCATAGAAACCAAAAGATTCACTGGTACTTCCTCTTAAAATTAGGCAACTTTGGGTTCATTTTAATTAAATATTTCCTTCCCAGGTTAGCTTTACTTTTTTCCATAGATGTGTCACTCATCCTTACTTGTCGATAAATGTATTTTTCAGTATATAATGTTTAAGTCCCACTGACTGAAAGAGGAGGTTGGTGAATTGCATCAGTATTTTACTAAGCAGGAGTCCACTTTCTGTCTTTAACAACAACTAAAGAAAGAGTGGAAGCTAAATAATTCTTTAGAATTGAAGGAGAACATAGTTTTCATCTTAGCCAGAATAATAATGGGCCAGTCTTCCTTAGGAATACTGTCACTCTAGTTATGCACTCAATCAGTGAGATTTTAGCTCCTACGTGAAAAAGGATAAAGGGGACTTTGGTTGCCATCAAGGACTGCTGTTGAGTTTGCTCATATGTGCTAACTACAAATCTTTTTTCCCCAATTCTTCCTTTTGTAGTTCTGGGTTTGATGTGATTTTCTATTCCTTTTTCTTGACAGTGTTCCATGTTGGAAATACATCTGCCCTTATATTAGTTGTGAAGTTATAGTTGAAAAGCTTGGTTATTGTATATAATAGTATGCTTTAGTCAGGCAGGTGGTTCAAGTTTTTTAGATTCAATTGTTCTCTAAGATATTAGTGTTACCTGATTTACCTATGTTAATGGACCCCCTGTTACTTTCTTTAAGGAGAGAAGTACAGAAATTGAGGCCATTTTTCATAAACATAAAACTTCACTGCCTTTATTGAAAGATTTTTCTCTCTTTAAATAGTCAGTTATTCTGTATTAATATTCTCCATTCTTTACAGAAAACTTTTCTTCCTTTAGAGTTTTACTGGGCTCTATTTATAGTATTATTTTTAAAACTTGAAGATATCTTCTACTTCTTCATTTGCTGTATTGTTTTAAGATCATAATAATGATTCATTACCATGGAGATGTGTTTTATATTTACCATACTACCTTAGGAGCCCTGAGACTTGAATTTTAAAAAGCAAGTAGTGAAAGTGACTTGGTACTGACTTTGTCATCACTGACTGTTCTTACTGTGTGGTTATTCACATCAGAATTCCCAGATTCCCTTTGGAAAATAATTGAAATGGGGCAACCAGTCCTCAAAGTCTCTTGCTACAGGTTTTGTTTTATGTTTCCATCTTACTTCTAAATAGACCAACAAAAATGCTGTATTTTTTTTAAAGCAGTAGTATATAGTGCATCCAAAGGACAGCAACCAGAATAATGAAGCACCTTAAGTCTTTGTCACATGAGGATTGTTTGAAGGGTCTGGAGAAGGGAAAACTCAGTGAACATGATAACTGTTTTCGAAGTATTTGATGCATTACCTGCCTGATGGGGTTGTCAGTCCTTCCTGGTCTCCATTATTGGCTCATCATCC